AGAGAATCGAACATTAAGAATGAATTTGAAAATACATATGATCCACTAACAGCTATCTGGTAGTATACGCGTGAATACTTTATATACCACATGTTCAATCGGGCTTTCCGAACATTGAGTGGCGATATCCTTATTCATATGAACTTTTTTTTATTTCTGATCTGTATCGACAAATCGATAAGTTACACAAGAAAGAGGCTAGTCAATATCATAGCAAAGTCTTTATCATTTACCAATGTCAAGACTTATCGACAACTGACTTTAAAAAGCTCGAGAAAAACAAAGGTGGACTGATCTCCTTCAATGACTTTTTATCAACAAGTAAAAATTGAGATGTGTTCTTGCGGTTTGCCTGAAGAGTTTAAACAAAACTGACACCGTTGTCATCCTCTTTCAAATGTCCATTGATCCTAACCACTTCATCTTCTACGTTCGCCACCATTAGAAAGATGGGTTACTTTAAGAAAGAAGAATGTTTTTATGAGAAAGCACGCGAAATTATGGAAAAACTCTTCCTTCCAATCATCCCATGTTGGCTACTCTGAGCAAAAATATCGAGAGGTTGTATTGAAACATGGGTGAATACTCAAAAACACTTTTGTTTTACGAAAAAGCTCATGAAATCTTAAAAACACTCTTCCTCGAAACTATTCTGATTTGGCTTGCGTCACCTTTCAACTTTGGCTTGATCAGTGCTTATGAAATTAGTTGTTCAAAAAGATTAGTTTCTATCAACAGAGTTTTTCATCATTTGTTCAAATTCAAACTATTGCTGAGCTGTGACATTCTTGCTTTAAAATTCGATTACAATTTTATATACACATAACACGATACCTATACGAAGACCATTTGTCGAATGTAACCAACGTCTACTTTCGGTAATGAAAAACTTGCAACTTTAAGTTAAATATTTAAATGAAAGTGTGCCAAATTTTTAGTGTTTTCAGCTTCAAATGAACTTCTTGTTTTAACCTTGAAAAAACACTATCCTCTATATCGATCAACTTGTCATATTTATCATTGTAGTATACATTAGAGCCTGTCAGGTTCAAGTCCGAAAATTTTGGACTTGACAAGCTTTAATATACATATCATATCACAATTTGGCGTTATTTGAATAAATCAGTGTCGAATTCTGATAATAAATTTGTAGTATAAACAGTGCCATTCGTATAGTTCATATAGAAAAACATATTCTCAAAACAATCATAAAACGTGATTAGTGTTCTCATTTGAAACTCCTAGTTAAAATTGTTGTGTGCATACTATCGCTATAACTTTTATTGAAAGATCGCTGTAGTACTGAAAATACAAATAATTTAAGAGATTTTCATGTTCACGAAAAAATAAATTTGTTCGTATCGAACAACAATTTTCCTTTTTCTCTTTACATTTTCATTCAAATAATCATAAATTTGGCCTCAATCATTCTCACTACATTATCTAATTTAACTAACAATCCAAAATTAGATCATTATCATTCTTCTCTTTGTAAAGATATATTAAACTCCATAGAGAAGTCCGAAAACAAGATTTAAGCTACAAAGAGCTTTTTTTAATGGTAAAAAAATATAATTTTTTCATTCACAAATTATGTGATTCTGAACTAGAACAAAATGTGCCAGTTTGTAATAAATGAATATCAATATTGCCTATTGATATATCACACTGTTTTAAAAAAATATTGTAAAGAACATATCAATATAATATTCATTTGATCCACCTTTTCCAAACGCAAATAATATAAAGTAAATAACACGAAAACCTTGTTATGAATTTCTTCTTTCGTTCATAGATATTAAATTTCGTATATATATAAATAAGAAACATGAGTAGTAAGAGTTTTAGCAGCTATTAAAACAATAAAAATTTATTTATGGTACATATGTAAGACAAAATATACTTCCTTATCATTATCTTTAGTAAATAAAGTTCTTTAACGTAAAATATAAATCTTGATTTCTTTTTCAAGTATGATCTATAGTATACCTTGACTTTTTTAGTATTCAAATTCGCAAGTATTTCGATGATATTCACGTTTAAGTTTTACAGTTTTCGTTCCATCATATTATTTAGCATTGATTTATCTTATACAATAGTTTAGCATCAATTTCATTATTAATTTGGTGATCGGATTGACAAAATACGATATCCAATCGATAAGAAACGTACCAAAATTCCTCTTGAAGATATTTCTTTCAATTTAATACCTTTTTTTTGTATATCTCCGCATATAATCATTTGAACAATAAGAAAATAAAGCATTCTTGCTAAATTCAAGTGGAAAATTTAACAATCAAGTTCAATTTGATTATCAAATTTTTATTTTCTACAAAAGAACTTTAATAAAAGTTTGTTTTTCAATGCAAGTCTAGTGCATCCTAATTATCAAAATTCGAATATTCCGAATATGAGTCTCATGAGTCCTTCATGAAAAAATACTAAATTTGTAATTTCAACCTTTTCTTACTAAGTACAGTCATCATATTGATGTGAAGCTACCACAATGGATTTAGATTGGCCTAGAACCTTTTGCACTTGTTCTTTAGAAGTCGGATAATCATGAGAATACTTCCGTACATGTTGCCGAACGCTTTCACTCAGGTCTCGTCTTCGCGTATGTCCTAACGTGAAGAATTTTAAGCTCAACTACATTGTACTCGTGATTTTGACTTCTTATTTATTACAAAACAAATGATAATAATTAGAAATCAAACAATAACAATATGAATCGATTTTAATATATATAAAATAATCCATAAATAAATACATGTGCCAATTAATCCTGACTAAAGTGTACATGAATATCTTGAAGTGAAAATTGAACATTCAAGTATTCTATTATGCAATAACAATAATGAATAAATTTAAAAGAAAACTTTTATAAATATTAATATCATAATAGCACTCACAAATGATGTCTTTAGTGTTGACAATGACCATACTTAATAAGTAAAGGTCGAAAACTTCAAATTGATTGTAAAATTATATTAAACTATATTCTATGATACAATATTTAGTATAAAAGAAAATGTTAATATATGGAATAAATTTTCTTCTGAGAAAAATCATGTTTCAACAAATGTCTTCTTTATAGTTACTTCTCATTCGAAAAAAATTACTCTAAAAGCTATAGTTTTAGAAAAAAAAAAGCCACAAATTACACAAGTAGAGTAGGTGAAAGGATGCAATATATATGAAATTGAATTACCTTGCCTATAGCCGTGTACAAAAAAACAGACATTTCGAATTTCTAAAAAAGAAACCTTCTAGTATTTGTAAATGGACCATTCTTAAATACTTCCTACGCCTACTCTGAATTTTATACCTAATATAATGAATGAAATTAAAAAAAGAAAAGGAACCCAGATATGAAAAGGAATTATAATTTTAGTCATCATACAGTTACTTGTTCTCTTTCGCCTGATCCATCACATTTATTTTTGGCTTTCAATTTTTTTTGTAAGTTATATAACCTTCTACTCAAGCATAGTTATACTTTTGTCTTTTATAAAAACTCAAAAAAACGATTTATAGTTAGTTTCTTGTTGATTAATTTAAAGACAAAAATGAATACTTTGAAGATAAGGTTTGTTTTTAAAAGATCTTTCTTTCAAAAACAAAACAAATTATATGGTTGCATAAAAAAAAAATCTATTGTGAATTATGTCGGAAAAACAACATAACAATAGTACGAGATATAATCTGCTTTGTTTCTTGAAACTCGAATTATTGTTATTTATTTCTATCACTCATCACAATCAATGTTATTCCTTTTCATCTTTTACTGATTTGATTTCTACTATGATAAACTGATATATATCTGCATTCTACTAATTGTGATCTTAATGATAAATCCCAAGACATATGTATATATATATATATAGGAATACGTAATAACTCACAATTTCAATAGAAGCTAAACTTATTCAATCGAGAAAACATATGCACAAGTATACTTAAATAATGTGATGATATAAGAGCTTGTTTGATGGACACTTAAAAACGTTGCTTTTTCCTCTTTATCTTGTCTTTTTTCATCAATGAAGAAAATCAAAGTGCTATCCAAAGAGAAGCAAAAAAGAACTTGTTGGTTCAATTTTTTGAGAGAGAAAGAGAAAAAAAAGTTAATCATTACTTTTTATTTTCATAAAATAAAGTATTATTGAACTTTTACTTGTACTCGAGAGTTTAATACAATAGGTACTTATGGAGATTTCTTCTTCTTTTTTTTTACTTTTGAAATAATAAACTAGGATATTCCGTAGCAGTTGCTATTTTTTCTCATGTATTCAATCTGAACTATTCAATAAAGACTATAGTTTAATAGATTTCAGACAGAACAAGAGCCTTTTTTTAATTCATACAGACTCTCAACGAAAATTGCCTCTTTTTTTTTTTTTTCTTTGTCAGACATCAATAAAAGCTTGTCATGCACACGACTAATTAAAAAGCTTTGCCTCCCTCGGTTCATTTCTTGTTCCATAATAAGAGTATTGTGTATGTTTTCTTTTTCTCTCTTCTCTATACACACTCGCTCGCATAGTTCTCTCTCTCTCTCTCTCTTCGAAGAGAAAGAGAGAACATGCCATACATATATATTGAGAGAGAAACTTTTTTTTCACTGTGCAAATGAACATATCTCACTGAGAAAAGAGAGAGAGAGAGAGAACAGAAGAGTCAAGAAGGGATTAGAAAGAGAGAGAGAACTCATCATTGGTAGAAAGAAAGAAATCATTCTCTATTGTTGTATACGTATGTTTCTTCTGTCAAAAATCTAAGTGAATTAAATCACTTTTCGTTCTCCTTCACGTACAGTAGTAGCATTTTTACAAGATGTAAGTTGTATGTCAATATATCATGAAATTTTTCTTTCTTTTTTTTTTACTTCTGTTATAAATTGAGATCAAAGCCATTATATATTCATTTTCATTTCTTTCTTCTCTTTATTTATTTTAGGATATAAAATTTGTATATTGAAATAGCAAACAAAACAAAAAATGTTCTTTATAAAATTAATATTGTCCTTTGTATTAATATCATCATCATTATGTTCAGCAAATCGTTGGTATCGAATGTTTAATACAAATCATGATGATCCATGTATTGATCGTCATAAACGTTTTCAACGATGTATACCAGATTTTATAAATGCTGCTTATCAAAAACCTATATATGTAACATCAACATGTGGAAATTCTCCGAAAGAATTTTGTAATCTATCACAATTAAATCAAAATCATCCAATTGATTATTTAACTGATATAAATAATCCAAATAATTTAACATGTTGGCAATCAGATTTAATTAAACAAAATGATAATGTTTCATTAATATTATCATTTAAGAAAAAATTTGAATTAACATATATTAGTTTACAATTTTGTTCACCAAATAAACCAGATTCAATGGCAATTTTTAAGAGTATGGATATGGTATGATAAAATTTTATGATTTATTTCAAAAGAATTGAAATTTCTCATTTTTTTTATTTGTTAAGGGTTTAACATGGATACCATTACAATATTATTCAAATAATTGTGAAGATATTTTTAATAAAAGTTCAAATGGACTAATAACTCGTTCAAATGAACAAGAAGCTTTATGTATTGATACAAAATCACAATTATTAACAATGAGTGAAACTCGTATTGCATTTAGTACACTTGAAGGACGTCCATCAGCATATGAATTTGATACAAGTCCTGTTTTACAAGATTGGGTTACAGCAACAGATATTAAAATTATATTATTATCATCAAATATTGAACCTAATTCATATTCATTAGCTGATTTTGCTGTTGGAGGTAGATGTAAATGTAATGGACATGCATCAAAATGTATTACAAACAGGTAGAATAAAAAGAAAGAAATACTATTAAATTATTATTTGATATACATACAATAATTCTTTCTATAAACAAACTTTGATTTTTATTTTAATATATGCATTGACCGAAAGTAAACCATTGTCATATGCAAATCGAGTCAAGAACATGTCTCGTGACTGAACAACTGTACGATTACATGATATATATATATATATACATACATGGTTTGTACGTGACATTGTCTGTCAATCAGCTGACAGACATAGATTGCAAACGGAGATCTTTTTTTTTATTCTCTTCTTGTCTTTTTATCTCATTGATCTTATTTACGATCGAAAATATTATTGTAATTATACTAGAAGACAAAAAAAAAAAAAAAAGAATTTTTTTTCTTTTGTTAGAAGATACCGACTTATATGATGATGTAAGAGAGAATTAAGTATGAGAAAATGTCCTTGAGCAACATTTTATTGTTATTTTTGCAGACTCATTCTTTGATAAGAGAAAAAATTATGTTCCGCTAGAGATGAATCGAATATCTTGTTTCTTATAATTGAATTGATTGACCAGTAATATCGGCAGCAGAATTATAAATGTGTGAGTAAGATAATATGATTGACACATAAAGAAAAGAGAAAAAAAAGACGCCGCTTTCATTGATTCAATTAGATATGTCTAGGAAATATAGACACAATTTTTATGATGTGATGGTAGTTAAGTTGTAAAAAAAGAAAGCGTCTTCTTTCTTTTTCACACTATTTTAATCAATATTATTGTGTACTCGATTTGGTCCATCCGTATACATCAAATATATATATATAAAGAGATATGTGTGAGTCTAAAGGTGATAACGAGTGATGATGCATCATAACAAAGACAAAAGAAAAGAATCGATCATCTCTTGTGCGTAACGTTTACTTAAACAAATGAGATTTGTTCATCACTTCATACATACATAGACAAATGTCACACATACATATACATATATACAGAGACAGAAGCCAAAGCTTCTGTTGTATTTATTTAGGTTAGTAGCTCAAATAAATAGAGTAAATAGGCATATCTATTCAATGATAAAAGCATATTGTCAAGTGGCCTTGTTGTGCCAGCAATGAACTGAAGATGTATGTATATATAGATAGATAGTTGTTTGAGACATAAATAGAGAATGTTAATGATGATGTAACATTGATATATTGAAAAGTAGAGAGTGGACAAGTGACAATTGAATATTCAATGAGAAGCTGAATAAGAAAAAAGGTGTGTGTGTGTGTATGTATATATGATGATCGATCGACATGATTGTCATCGATACTTTTGTTTCCTTATTCTCTCGTTTTTATTTAATTTTTTTTTTCTCATAAATGATCAATCAAGATCAATTGTTTCTATTGTTAACGAATTTGTCATTTACAAGAGAGAGAAAAGAAACGGAAGTTGACAAACTAATATATATATATATCAATATAAATGAGAACTTCAACTTTAATGCTTCCTTCTTTTTTTTTTTTTAATGATCAGTCACTTGAAAAATTAGAATGACGTTTAAACCGATCATATTCCCGTTCACATATATATCACTTGAAATTTGTTTTGATTCTATTCTTTTGACGCATATACATATACATAGCATAAAAACAAAATATATGCAAATAGTTTAAAGTGTTGATGATATGTGTCTATAACAACTGAAATATTCCCTAAACAAATTTAGAAAACATGTTCGTTTTCTAAACATTTTTTTCTTTTTTAGTGATGGTCGTTTAGTATGTGATTGTAAACATAATACAGCTGGTGATGAATGTGAACGATGTAAAGATTTTCATTATGATCGTCCATGGGCTCGTGCAACACAACGTGATGCAAATGAATGTGTCGGTAAGATGTTGTTTTTCATCTTCTCAAGATTTAAGAAATTACATATATATATGTATCATGAGTTTGATTATGTATTCGAAACTAAGAACATCGATTCTATGCTCTAACACGTTGTAAAATAAGGGCACATATACGTGTCAAAGGTTAATTCTAGTTTGTAATTGCAATAAACATTCAACAAAATGTCGTTTTAATTTGGAACTATACAAAATGAGTGGACATAAATCTGGTGGTGTTTGTATTGATTGTCAACATAATACAGCTGGTCGTTCATGTCATTATTGTCGAGAAGGTTTTACACGTGATTTAACTCAATCAATGACAAGTATAAATGCTTGTCAAGGTAGTACAAATAAAAAATATCGTTCGTTTTCTTCTAGTTCTTTTTTTTTTTTGCTCTTTTGACAATAAATGTTGTATTCATTGTTATTATGCACATAAATACACATTATTATGGACATGCATCACCGAAGGAAAAAGAAAGCAGAATAAAACAAGATTTCCTTGTATATTTTATTCATTTCGCTCTTCCTAGTGTATCGTTCGGATCGTTAGAGTTTAGAATATATTCTATATATATGTTTTGCAGCATGCAATTGTAACAATCATTCTCAACAATGTCGTTTCAATAAAGAACTTTATCTTCTTTCGGGACGAAAATCAGGTGGAATTTGTATACAATGCAAACATAATACAGTTGGTCGTCATTGTAGTTATTGCAAAGAAACATTTTATCGTGATCCAAATTTATCAATAACACATCCTGATATTTGTAAAGGTAATCAATGAGAAATAAGGAATAATGCATGAATCAATTAAACATTGCTGCTTGGACCTTCTCGTTATTGATTAGTTTTTTTTTGCTTCTTTTTCCGGTGTGTGTGTATGTCCCTCACTTTCATTGCACTAACCTTGCATGTTTTTCTATTAGTTATTTTAGCCTTGTTGTGTATGTTTCGTTTTAATATATATATATATATATGTGTGTGTGTGTGTTGCTCATTAGTGTTAAGTATAGGATGATAGCATATTTCCTGACTATTGTTTAATTCCCTATGATGAAGTATGACCTATGTATGTGTCAATCAGCGGAAACCTATATAAATATATATTTGTATAGAAAGGAAAGTATTGATGGTCTTTTCATGAGAGGAAACGAAGGCAATATTGGTCGCTTAGTCAAGGTTAACAGGAAGTTGAGGTCTTTGTATAACCTAGACTGAACATTGAGAATAACAATGACGATAATTGTTAAAAAATATCTTTTCTTATTATAAACTATTATCCTTCTTATTTTCTTGATTGAATCATCAAGTATTAACCAAATAAATAGACCATGTATATATATATATACATTATTGTAGTCTCATTATTCCGTCTGTGTTATAACAAGACAAATAAATATAAACCATTGTCTAAAACAATTATCTCTAAGAATTGGCACAAAAATCATCTTGCAACTAATAGCTTTGTCACACACACATATATATATATCTTGAAGGATTTAACCTTAGTGAATGTACTGAATCAATTTTCTGCAATGTATACTGCTACCAGTATGTCACAGGATCCTATCTGGAGTACTTTACTGCCCGGGAAAGTTCTCGAACTGAAAAATTGCTTTTGAGTTGAGAGTATGTCTATTATGTAGACCAAAATGAATTATAAATGTTCTGAAAAGAATTCATATTTGTAGTTCATTGCTGCAGAGGTACTAAGGTACTTTTTAAACAAATGTTGTGATAACAGAAAAACTTATTTTCGAATTTCAACTTGAAATATCACGTAGAGATATATTCCAACGTGAGTAATTTATTGTGAAAGCTTCAGATCTTTTGATTTGCTTCTATGCTCAAATGAAAACATCAGATCTGCCGACTACTCTGAGCAATATACAAGACACTATTACTATAGTTGTATCTTATGCTAGGAATAGCGACAAGATCTGAAACTTGCACGATAAACTAATCTCTTTACTACCTGTCTTTATACAAAATTTCACGTTGAAATTCGAAAATTAGTGCTTTTTAGAGATAGGTCCCAGCACTCATTTAAAACAATATCATAACAACGCAGTATGTTTACAATAATATGGTACGGACACAAATTTTTTTTTCACGGTATTCATATCTCATTTGGGCCTACATAGCCTAGGCTCTAAAACGATGTATCCTAACAGAGACTTCCCTCGTGAGAATTGCCTCAGGCAAAGTATCTATCCACTTTCGATGTAAAGGCTCCTGAGCTCAGTACATTCACTATAATTGAAAATGTTCAATAGAACTGTTAAATTGAATATCTTTTTCTTTTTTTTTATTAATCTTCAGCATGTAATTGTCATCCGGTGGGTTCACGAGGTAAAGTATGTAATCAAACAACAGGACAATGCCCATGTAAAGATGGTGTTACTGGTTTGAGATGTGATCGATGTATGAAAGGTTATCAACAAACTAAATCACCTATTTCACCATGTATAAGTATGTATTAACACAAGAAAAAAACTTTTTGTATTACATAAAATTCTTTCTATTAGGAAAACTCGATCTACAATCATCAAATCTATATAATATATATAATCGAGATGATAATGTGCAGCGTTATCATGAACAAGATGTTGATAATGATGATGATGATGATGTTTATACTCCGCCCATTGACAGAACGACAGCAGCAACAACAACAACATCTACGACAACCATTCGTTCAATATTAACAGAATATAATCCATCGATTGATATGGGACAATATTGTGGTGCATGCCGTTATTATAGTCGTCGTTTACATGTGAAAAAATATTGTAAACGAGATTACAGTAAGTTAACAAAAAAGAAAAAAAAACAAGCAAAAAAAAATTTTTTCTTTTTCTTAAAAGCTATTCATGCACGTGTAACTAATCAACATGATGCTGGTCAATGGATATCTTATTTATTGACAATTGTTCGAGTTTATAAAGATCGTCTTAATCGTATTCAAGAAAGTGAACAATGGGTATGGGTATCACGTAAAGATGTTCAATGTTCATGTCCACGTTTACAACTTGATAAACAATATTTATTAATGGGTTTTTATGATCAAATGCAAACATCTTTAAGTCTTGATCGTACATCTGTTGTTATTGAATGGAGACCACGTATGGAACAACGTATGAATCGTTTTCGTCGATATGAATTAAATAAAAAATGTTAAAAAAATAATTATATTCTCAACAAGTCAATAATGAATATCATTCCGTAAAACATCGAACAAAATAAAAATAAATTTTGTATATTTGTCGTGTGTGTGTGTGTTGTTGTCATTGTTTCATTTTTCTTTTCTTTTCTTTTCTTTTTTTTTAATTGTTAATTGTGTCAGTAATCTTTAGCATTATGATAAAATAAAAAAAGTCATTCATTTTCATTTATTTGATTGTGCAATACTATTTCATTTTCATATCAATCTATTTAATGCTTTTAAGTAAAGTATATCATCGTTTCCAGACTGTTGTCATTAAATATACATTAGTCAAATAGAATTTTTTGTTCAATTAACCAAAACTTTGTTTGTTTCACGATAAACAAGGACGATTACACTGATAATATAAACAAAAAATTGGGCAAAAAAATCTTATCAATTATCATATTTTTCTTTTTCTTATTTATCTACTAATGGTCATTAAATAATGCCGTTGGCCGATTGAGAATCATGTCCACTTAAAAGACAAGAGAATAATCGATGGTATAGCTTTATCATTTCAAAATGACCATTAATGCAAAACGGAAGTAAATTTGAAGAGAATAAGTGCCGATATGAATAAAAAAAAGAATCCATTTACACGTGCCGCTTTGTATACAGACGATGTGTTTGACACCATTGATTTGTTTTAATTTGATGCTTCATTAAGTACTATGTATCAAATGAGTGGTAACTCATACACAAAAAATATAATTGTTTTAGATTTTTTCTCTTCTCATTTAACATAAAGACGAATGGTCTAATAATGAAATAAAAAAGGTGATAAAACTTTCGGTATGCGAACATTCTATTTAAGTGAAATAAAAAAAAACAAAAACAAAAGCAAGCTTCTGATTTAGTTTACTTATTAATTTCAAATCTAAATGTGTTATATATTTTTTTTTGAAATTAACACATTATTTTATGAGTTTTTTTTTTTTCTTCTTTTCAATTAAACGATTTTTAATCCTATTTTGTAGAAAGGTGTTTGTATAGATAAACGAAAAGAAAAGGTGCTCTACAGAATGTGTTATATCAATACGTACTTTTACGAATCAAACAAACGATACTGATAACAATGCTTTTTTATTTTAATGTATCATTATGACAAACGAAATAGAAAATTGATAAGATTTCCAACAAGAAAAAAAAAACGAAATATAAAACAAAATAAAAAGTTAACACATTTGTTTTTTAGTGCAGAAGAAATAAAGGTATATGATGATAACTCAATATTTATTTATTGCTTTCTTGAGTTTTATTATTGTTCATGGAACACAATGGCCTGTTCCATATGAACGTGTAACAAGTCGTCCAACAAATAATCCATATTGTCAAGCAGGTCTTATTGCATTTTGTCCAACTGGTAAAACTGAGGATGCAATGATTTATGCACAAGATGATAATGATGTTATCGAAATATTTGCACTTAAAAAACCAGTATGGTCATTTAAATTTGGAGATTTATTAGCTAAATTTGTAAGTTTTTAATTAAAAAAAATTTTGTTTTTTAAATAAAATTTGTTTTATTTGTATGAAAAATAGAAAATTATGCATGATGCATTAGGTTTTCGTAGTCAAAAAACAGGTCAAAATTGGACAATGGAATGGTAAATTAAATTCTATTTATAAAAAAATTAAATATATATTTTTACTTTTTATAAAGGTATGAATTAGATCAGCTATTTAATTGTACATTTCCACATGTACTTCAAAATAATTCATTTATATGGTGTGATCAAGGTAAATTTAGTTATTTTTTGATAACTATCATTAAATATATTCTTAATTACAGGTGCTTTATGTGTTTATGAAGGAATTGTCGATTCCTTATGGAATGGTTCATCAGATTTAAGCATGTTGAAAAAAGTCGGTCAAATGACTGGTTAGTATTCTATTTGTTTTGTTTTTCTAAAAATTATTTTTTCAATAGGTAAAAATTATAATGCTTGGGCGTCATGGGCTGTAAGTGATAATAATACTGGTGTCTATTACGAAACATGGACAGTCTATTCTGATATTGGTAAGTGTTTATGGAAATGTATTTTTCAGAAAGTTCATTTGAGTATGAATTACCGAAATACATTTCACAAAGTCAAGACTATAATGAGTGTCATAAACTACATGGATCTAATTCATTTTCATTTTTATTTGTGTCACTCAGATATAAATATGATGGTGAAAAAAAAACAATGAAAAAATAATTAAAACTTTTTTAAACATGTTACTAAATTCTGCATCTTTTGATAACTGTGCTTTAGAATTTTAGAAGAAATATTTGTAAGAGAAACCTTCTTTGAAAAGTATGTTTTCCCAAAATATATACAAAAATATTATTAGATATTGCTTGCAAGTCTTTTTTTAATAAATGACAACATCCAAAACCTTGATAAGAACTTCTTGAAGAATAAAAATTTAACTAGACTGAAGAAGAATACTCCTGATTTTCAGCTATCTTTCAGTATGGAGTGCTACTTAGCGACAGATTCAATAGTCTGATGTCTTCTCTACAACTAACATCAGCTGTAGCTCTTGTCTTCAATTGCTTGAGCTCTTCATAGAAACTAACTAACTATAAGAGCAAATATACGTCACAATGTAGTCAACATAATATTGGACGGATGACTTGAGATAAATAGTCGTTAGTAATTGGCACAAAGTCATTTCATAACTCATAGTATTAAGATTAGCAATAAACTTGAATAAACTATTACGGCCTAACTATTGTTTGTAAAAGGAGAAACTTCTTGTATCTTCATGTAAACTCACAGTCAAAAACTTTCATTAAGTAACAAAATAATCCACATGTAAGGAATCTATTATACTAAAAAGAAAAGTATATTTTTGATAATCCGAAATTTCTTTTCTTTATGTTCTAATCAGATAATTTTTCGATGAACACAATATCTAGATTCGGCTCATATTGATAATCCATGATAGAATGAATTGATTATTTTTTTTTTAAGGTCCTAATGCAACAATGTATTTCGATTCGTATGATTGTGCTAGTTTTGTTATTCGTGGATTAAATCAACTGTATCGTTATGGTGCTGAAATATTACCAAATATTCATTTGAATTATACACGTATAAATCTATATGCATATGAACCTCAATTACTTGGTACATATAATCAGATAGTTCAAAATGAAACTCTTCATCAAGATTTTATTGATTTTTATCGTAATTTTGATTCAAAAAAACCAACAACAGGAGCATGGATTAAATCCTTAATAGATATTTATGAAACATTTTTTCTAACTCGACGTTTCTATTTATATTTCAATAATGTTTATTGGTATATGAAATTAAAAGAAATAACACCAATCAAAATAACATTTTATGAAATTCCAATCAGTTCTGTTTTGATGAATTAAATAATATAATAATAAAAATTTTGAAAATAAAAAAAAATAATTTTATCACTGAATCACTACTCTTACGAAAAGAAAAGATAAATAAAGCAATTGACAAAAAATAAATACAATCCATATGTATCAATGTAAATCTTTCTATTCAATAATAGATCCATAGAAATAATTCTATTCATAAAATATGAATGTTTTTGGTTCCTTGAATGTTTCGTGCCATCTGTTTATACTAGAGTACGACTACTTAATCTAACACATACAATTCTGGAGGTAATATTGGAGGATTAACTTATAGTATCATGATTTAGTTTATTGTCATCCTGATGAATATCCTTCCTATCCTACAATATCCTACATAGAAGAGTTAATAGGGTACGTTTGAAGGTCAATATTTAGCAATTCTAATAAGATATGATACTTGACTCTATCTCGTAATACAAAAAATTTTTACAGTGTACAAAACTGTGTATGGACATCACAAAAGACTTGTTTGACAAATGCATTATGAACAAACAGTTCCATATTAAATTCTTTTGAATAACATTTTTACACTCAGCGTCTAATATTTAATTAGAAAGTAGTCCTTTTAGAAAAAACTGAAATGTTAATAGCAAAAAAAACTTGTAAAAACATTCACTCGATTTTTTTTATTATGGTAGTGAGAAGAATTCAACTTAAACAACAAATTTTTTGTTATTGATCTGTACAACTTTGAGAGGAGGAGAATAAGACGAATTCATTTGAAACTTTATTACCTCTTCTAAAAAATTGACCTTGATTCACCCTAGAACAAAGTTTATTTCGATCAAATACTTCATCGATTTAGAACAACATTATAAACTTGTAATTGTATAGCAAATAAACACAGTGTGTTCGCAATATCAATAGTCGATTATGTTCGATCAGACCATCGACAAGACATTTATTTTTAAGTAAAAGTTATGTGAAGTAGACACACATTTGGTTTATAATGATTCATGATGTTGTTATGATATAAAATTTTTGTAGTATTTTCATATCGAATAATTGATATGGTTGATTTGTTTGCTTATATTTTTATATTTTTTTTTTTCGTGACCTTGTATTAAAAAATACGTCATTCTTCTTCGTTACCAAATATGTATTTATTTATACATAGATAAACGTACACAGAAACGTTTATTTCATTTAATCATTGCCTTGCTCTTTTCTTTTGTGTATGTTATAGCATATTATTTGGTTACTTTTATAAAACAATATTAATATGATGCATCGTCAAGAACGTAGTCATTTAAGTTCAGAATCTGCATCATCAGAAACATCTAGTATTACGTCTAGAGCAACAACATTAACTGGTGCTTTTAGTGATAATAAAAGTAACACATCATTAGAATATCAACCAGTAATAAGTGGCTTAGATCGATTAAAAATCTATCGAGTAGAAGATGATCACTCGTCGGCTTTCTCAAGTACAGCTCCAAGTGCTAGTACTGTTATCAACATGAAACCTAACACAAATAGAATCGATAACAATCAATCTAATGAAATGATTACTCAAAATCAACAAAAACCATGGATTAATCCATATTGGGGTTCAAATTGGAAGCCTAATACAACAGCAACTCGATCAGAAGCAAACAAAATCAATACAAATACTAATGTTCCATAGTAAGGAGATAGTGTTTTGATTATTTTCCACTAATGAGAGAACATACTCAACTTTTGAACATCGTTCGACTTTCTATTATGACTAGAAGTAGATCTTGCTGAGGCTAAGATGACCTTGAAAAGAATTCGAACCCAGGACCAACCGTTAAAGAGTTATGATCGTTTAAATGAAATTTTTCTACTAAGAACAAGACATTTTCAAAAAAGCAGCCGTTTACGATATCAAATCACAATAATTGAATCTATTTCTAAATCGAATATATCAAGAAAAATATCTTCGTTTCTGTTGAGATTTTTAAGATTATGTAATAACCATCAAACATGTCTATGGACAAAATTTTCGATCGAAACTCTTTGCAATCATTTTAAACTTGCCTTAGTCTCATCGAAATCTACTCTTAGTCATAATATGAAGTCGAATGGTGCCCAACAGTTGGATATGTTCTTTTGTGAGTCAACTTTTTTCTTCTTTTTGCTTTAAAGTTCTTCAGCACCTGGTCACATCAGTCAACTTATTCCGGGTTCGATATTAATTAATGATCAAGGTGAACTTGATGATTTATCATGGAATAAAAATACACATATTCGACCACTGTTTTCGAATAATCCATTAAATCCCAGCGGTAAATATATACCAGATGATAATCGTGGCCCTGGTGGTTATCTTGCACCAACACATGTTCAACGTCGAATCGTAATATCATCACCAGGAATATTTGTAAATCCTGAAATTAATTTTGGTTATACACGATCAAGTTCATCATCGGATCTTAATACTCACAGTCGACCTACATTCAATCGACAACAAACTTTTCCTGAGAGTACGGACAATAATATTCAACAATGGGTCAATCCCTATTGGGGTACAAAACCAAATCAAACTAAACCTCAA